AAATAGAAAATGAATGGCATCTTCATAATGATGGCCACAAGTGCAAGTAGACGTATTTTGAAGGAAACGGTCACATTTATGTGCATTTAAGTCACTACAGCCAAATCTTAACTTACAATGACTTATTTGGTTAAATCTAGTTCCAGTGTTTCTGAAGACATGATGTACATTGGATGAGACAGTTCGATCAAAGTGTTTCTTGAACATGGCAACGGAATCAATGTTTCTTATATCATTATCTAACTTGTTCCACTCCATCACAGAGGATGGTAAAAAAGATATTTTATATGTTTCCGTACGACATAAAGGTACTTGGAGTATATTACTAGATCTAGATTCATATGTGGATACAGAGGATATGTTTATTGGAATTAGATCTGATATATACTTTGGAGTTTTATTATGGAACATTTTATGAAATACACACATTTGGTGATTTTTGCGACGTTCCCTTAATGATGAAAAAACAGTTTCATGAAAGATTTTGGAATGGCTGACTCCTCGAACAGATCCACATATGGTTCTTAAAGCATCTAAGTGAAGTTTTTCTAACAATAACTCTTGAGTTTGTGTACAGTTGTTACAAATATAATCACAATAGTCAAAAAGTGGTAAAACAAATGAACTATACAGGGTTTGGAGGGTTTTCCTCTGAAGGCGGTATTTCAGACTTCTTAAACAATTGATCATAGGACTAACTTCAGAAATAATATCATCTATATGTGTATTCCAGTGGCCATCGCTTTGTAAAGTTTGTATGTATGTATGTATGTATGTATGTATGTATGTATGTATGTATGTATGTATGTATGTATGTATGTATGTATGTATGTATGTATGTATGTGACGGTTGCCGTTCACATAAGAAAAATAAAAGTTCAAAGATGATATCTATCGCTTTCTCTATTAATTGGTTTCACCATTGTGACTTTCAAGTTAGCCACACCTGATCTATCAATGCATCGCTTTGACCGATCTAATGCCCCATTAAGTGGGCATCGATATGGAGAGATCAAGCGATTGGTTCCCAAAACAGAGGCGTCAGGTAGATAGCATCGTCCTTGAGCACCAAGGACATAGATTGGACATAGACTGAAAAGAGGGGTATATGTATAATTACTGTATGGTGAAGTGGGGAATAGCTGCTTGTCTGACGGGCAGCCCGGTGTTGGAGATGCTGTGACCAGGTGGTACCGCGACCCTGGCTCACCGACTGAAGATACTTGTGACTGACCTTTGTTATTAGTGCCTGGGGTAGTTTGGTGTATTTACTCAACCAGAGAGAGAGAGAGAGAGAGAGAGAGAGAGAGAGAGAGAGAGAGAGAGAGAGAGAGAGAGAGAGAGAGAGAGAGAGAGAGAGAGAGAGAGAGAGAGAGAGAGAGAGAGAGAGAGAGAGAGAGAGAGAGAGAGAGAGAGAGAGAGAGAGAGAGAGAGAGAGAGAGAGAGAGAGAGAGAGAGAGAGAGAGAGAGAGAGAGAGAGAGGAACACACCGTTAGGGACCTGTTTTATATATTAGTTTAATTTATTTAAGACGTTAGATGTCTTCGAATGGAGCATCTGAATTTAAAAGATAAACCAACAATTTTTGGTGATTTTAGCTGTTATCGACAATATTCCACTTAAGTGTGGGATATTGTCATAGTTTGTTGTAGTTTTTCGAGCCACCTAATGTGCATTTAAAAAAAAAATAGTGTCAACTATTCACTGAATCAAAGCCCAGCAATATCCCACAATCAAAATGCTATCATTTACTTTCAGTTATTGACACGTGTCAAAACGAGATGCACGCACAGTTGTCACGAATTAGAGCTTTGCATTACAGAAGTGTTATTTTGTGTAGACGCATGCTCCATGAAATTCTGACCAATCACTAAAACCAGTTGTCAATAACGACGTAATGATGTAAACAGTGTATTGTATCTGGCTATTAACTGCAGAGCCAGCCCCGATAGTGATGTTAAACTTTCTAATTGTTCCACCGACCTACACTACATTTCGTCACTTGTGAACGCCTAAAGCAGCGTGTGCGCGGATTTTATATACACATCATAACAGCTACGGGAGACCTTAATCACAGAGGAGTTACCTCCCCTGTCTGTGCTCCCCCGTATCGTTGTGAGTCTCTCTATAGTTTGTCTATCTGCACTCTCCGGTCACTGTGGGAAGAAAATTGACTGTACGGACAAGTTAAAACATGACAGGCAGGTTATAGAACTCTGAAGAAGGATGAAACAAACAGACGAATGTTCTATTTGTGATAATTTGAAAAGAAACTAAATGTTTGTTTTGCTTAAAAGTATAGAAATAAACGTGTGAGATTAATTTTGAACACTACAATAACATTTACAACAACAAATCTCGAGTTATTAAATAGCATTGCCCATGGTAACAATAGTGCGTTTGGCTCAAAAGCGGACAGCGGAGAAAGGGACAGCCAGGTGTTAGAGAAGCACGTGCACAAGTACCGACAAAGTTATTGATTTATTAACCTGTGCTGTGCCGTCTCCATCCTTTCTCACACGACCGCCTCCGTGGTGTAGTGGTTAGAGCGTCCGCCCGGAGTGCGGAAGGTCGCGGGTTCGATCCCCGACCGCGTCATACCAAAAGACGTTAAAATATGGTACTTGTTGGTCCTTGCCTGGCGCTCGGCATTAATGGGCACAACAAGGACTGGTCGGCTCGGAGTCAGTATATAATAATGTGTCTGAGTGGGGTATTCATGCTTCACTGCGGCATGGTATCTCAGTGGGCTAGCACTTTAAAACCAGCTTAAGTCTGGGCTAGTACAAGCAGCCGCACATACACATACACACGCATGCACGTGGTCATATGAGCGAAATATTCTCAAGCACGACGTAAAACCCAATTTCACCTCACCTTTCTCGCACACCTGGCTGTCCCTTTCTCTGCACTCCTCCCTCGTAACAAATAGTGAACTGTGTCAATATTTTAATGATATTTTGTTAAACAACGTTTTTATTTTTAGGACATAAATTCTGCAAAAAACTCACAGAGTTGGTCTGATGTTTTCATTATGATCAGTGTTTCATTGAGTATTATATGTTTATTAGTTTTCGAGTTAGATTGCAATTCATCGGTCCGCTTTTGAGCCAAACGGACTATAACCGTCTACCAGTGTACACCTTTGGGGAACATATATAACATTATAGTTTACATACATATTCGTAGGTTGATTTGTTGTTGAACGCCACACTCAGCAATATTACAGCTAAATGGCGACGGTCTGTAAATAGTCGACTTTAATATATAAGTTTGCAGAACCTCGTCGACACTCAAAAATATTTACAAACATTAGTGTGAAATATGTCTAAATTACTGGCAAAATAGGATAAGTTGAGCACCGACCTGAAATTGACCCGTATTAGGATATATGAGAGCCGCCCACTGGCGCTTGCCATTGTTAGCGAAGGGGCCCCAGGTATACCGCTATCAAGTGTAGTGCGACCATCCTGGTTCCCGGGCCTCTCATTATATAGAGGGCCTATATATAAACTAATGAGAGGCCCTGGAACCAGGATGTAGTGCAACTTGCTACACCGACGTGAGACGTGAGCAAGGCGTGTGCAGCTACGCGCGGAATCAGTTTCATCGTCATGTAATTCACGTGCACTATCCTACATCGGCTCTACCTTTCACAAACCAAATTGGTTTGCTCATGGCCGTGCACCGCTTCTCGTAAGTTGTACGCGTTCTCTGCGCCGGTCCAACTTATCCTTTTTTAATTGCCTGTAGATGAATGTGGACAGCCCCAAAACTCTACACTATGCAACAGAAATGACTTTACCCTCGCTGTAAAAGTGCTTAAAGAGTAACTTTGCAAGCATACATCGAAAAAATGAACCCTACGGATGTAATAATAACTCCACATATTCAGATCTCTTTATGAATATGCTGTCTTTTCGGTCATAGTCTAGTACTCCGAGATAAATATTGCAAAACAGAAGAGCCATACGACATATCATTGTTTAATTGAAGTATTACATATTCTAATTTCGCAAAAAACATGGAATACATTTTTCTTCCCGTGGTAAATAAAATACATTGTATACCATGCTTCATAAGCTAAAGACCTTTTTTAAACCAAGAAAGACAGTCGGGATGCACAGGGTATGACACATGCATGTTGCAACAACTTCTCGTGTTATCGCTTTCTCGTCTCGTGATATCGCTTTCTCGCTTTCTCGCCTCCGAATTTTTAAGGCGAGAAAGCGATGGCCCTAATCAGCCACCACAAAATATACCTCTGGACTGGTTTGCTGCTTGACGCCTCACTATTACGGCAATATGGAGGCGGTCTATAAATAATCGAGTGTAGACCAGTGACCAGTGATCAACAACACGATCATCGTCAACCAGGTCAGCGGGCGCGCCTGACCACCCGATCCCGTTAGTGGCCTCTTACGATAAGCATGGGTTGCTGAAGATCACTTCTAACCCGGATCTTCACGGGTTCGAAGGTGCAGATATTTCTGAGTTTATATCAAAATGTGACCACACGCCATGACGTAAGTACGGGAATGAGCCCCAAATGAAGCTGTAATGGATCCGAGTTATGCTAGACGGGTCTACAATTTCTACCCGTCCCAAGTCACAATGATTCCTTTGCCAGGTGTGCTGAATAGGTGAGGTGAAATTGGGTTTAACGTCGTGCTTGAAAATATTTCGCTCATATGACGACGTGCATGCGTGTGTATGTGTATGTGCGCCTGCTTGTACTAGCCCAGACTTAAGCTGGTTTTATAGTGCTAGCCCACTGAGATACCATGCCGCAGTGAAGCATGAATACCCCACTCAGACACATTATACTGACTCCGAGCCGACCAGTCCTTGTTGTACCCATTAATGCCGAGCGCCAGGCAGGGACCAACAAGTACCATATTTTAACGTTTTTTGGTATGACGCGGTCGGGGATCGAACCCGCGACCTTCCGCACTCCGGGCGGACGCTCTAACCACTACACCACGGAGGCGGTCGGTGTGCTGAATATATTCCTTTCGTGTTATACAAGAACAGATACAAACAAGGGTTTAAACCTCAACAGTAAAGTAGGGCCCTTGGAGAAGTTCTTCTATATTCGTTGCTTCAGCGTCTAATATTGGAGGCATTGTTCTAGTATGCCACACAAGTACCTGTAATCAGAGACAAAATGCAGATATCAGCTCATAAACACGCAAACACCCCCATCCTCTCACTCCAAATGCCCATTAAAGAATGAAAGAGCCCAGACTGCAGTCATTGCCAGTACAATACCATGTAGACAAACTTTGGAAAGACTTCCGCTCGTATCCCCCTTAAATCAAATCATATTACCAGAATATACACTAAACGCCAAAAGAAACGTTACCCTCCTACCTTTATGAATTATTGAAAAACCATCAAAGATATGTTAGAAGGTATTAGTTTACAAGAAAGCGTAACAACACAGCTTTATGCAAATCACGAAACGAAATTCTCAAATGCATTCATATTTAGGTGAAATGCATCTTTTTCAAAAGAGTTAAATTGTCCTATTTTCGTCCATGCCGAAATATACCAATAACAGTGATTGATGTCCAAAAGAAAGGTTGAAATGAAATTCTGCTTTGGGATAAACAGTAAAATTCTGCTTTGAGATAAACCATTTAGAGTCACCATATTTCAATAATCATTCCTATGATTTCAGTCTTTTAAAACATTTTCTGCTGATTTGCATTAGTGAAAACAAGTAAAACGTGTCTTTGATATTGTGAAAAAATGTTTAGGAACATCTACAATGATCTTTGTTAACATTTTTGCTTGCAAAGTAACATTTTTTCCATTTTCTGTTTACACATAGCAATATCAATCGCTAAAACGCATCAATATTCAAGCAGTATTTGGATCCATTTCACATGTAGAATAATTCTATAGAGTATGAAAAGAGCCTAGAAAAGATATGATACACAAGTACGAGAAACATGCCATGGTTAACAGCTGAAGAGAGAGAAAGAGCCATTGGGATGGTGCAGATGGGATCGACATACAATGTTGTTGCCAATGCTCATGGATGCCACCGTATCACGGTTATAAGACTTATTCAGGGCTTCAGACCGACTGGGGCCACCGCAGACAGACCAAGAAGTGGACGTCCACGCATCACAACCCCTGTTGAAGATAGGTACATCCGTCATTAAAGGAGGGTAGCGTTTCTTTTGGCGTTTAGTGTATATATGGAATCCGTAAATAAACATAATCACTGATAATATAATACCTATTTACTGTAACATTTAAACATACATACATACATACATACATACATACATACATACATACATACATACATACATACATACATACATACATACATACATACATATATATATATATATGTTACAGTATTCCAATATATACAGTATATATAGACATAGATAAATAGATAGATATATACACAAAGAACTCAATTAAGCAACCCCTGTAAATTTGCAATTATAGCTTTTCCACACGTACATAAAACTCCTCATGGTGACCACCATGGAAAAAACATGAGTGTTTCTGACCTGTGTGATCCTTTGACTCATAAAAAACGACAAAATTATTGGAATCCATGTTGATTTTATAATGATAATTGCTCATTTAAAAAGCACACACAGTGTTCATAACGTTTCGAGAATAGCTAGCCAGGAATGTTTAATATTGAATTTATTGGTGAATTTGAACATTCAAAATGTGATTTTGCGTGTTTTACACGATTCAAGGTCAATACCGAGTGTAACCTCCATGTGACTGTATGGCAGCCAGCACTCTCCTCCTCATACTACCTGTCAGCCTCCTGATCCTCTGAAGGGGCAGTCGACGCCCCTCGTGTAAAGCAGCTTCAACTTGGACCAGCTTCTGTACAGGAGGACCCCTTTGTTGCACACGGCGACCAGTAATGTCCCAGATATGCTCCAAAGGGTTAAGACCGGGGCTCACTCAATCGTGAGATATGTCAGGGGGTGCTTAACTAAGTTCTTTGTGTAGAGATAGATATATAGATAAATAGATCGAAGTTGGGCTACGATGCCATGCATCAGCCAAGTAGTCTGACCAGGTAATCTCATCAGTCGCCACTTACGACAAGCGTGGATTAATCTCATCACTTGTAATCCGGATCTTCATGGGTTACGCCCCTCTCATCTTAGTCGAAGTTACGTGCAAGCGCGACACATACACAAGCATGTTAGTTACAATAAACACAACACAATAAACAAACTGCTTAAGCAATGGACGAGGCACACCGTAGTTGATGAGAAGAATACAGAATCGCGTGGATTCCTGGTTGGTATGTTATGTGACGCCGCATTCAGCAATATACCAGCTATATGGCGGCGGTCAATCCAGACAATCCAGTGGTCAACATCATGAGCATTGTTCTACGTAATTGGGTTACGATGACATGTGTCAACCAAGCCAGGGAGCCTGACCACCTGATGCCATTACGCCTCTTACAACAAGCATTGGTTGCTGAAGACCAATTCTAACCCGGATCTTCACGGGTAGGATTCCTACGCGTGTTAGTGCGACTGTCATACTAGACGATAATCCGTATTTCATTGCCGTCGAGAACCAGACACTCACCTTTGTACCATTATCTGCCACAGGTTCAAAGTCGCTTAATATAATATTAAGTCGCTCCAAGATGGTAGATTCCTGCAATCCTGGGGAAACCTTATAGGTGAACTTTGCCTCTGGGTATTGAAAGAAGAGCCTAAGGTTGATGGCGAACCCGGCCATGTCAATAGCGAAAGGGCGAGGAAAGGTAAGTCCCGTCAACCAGCCAGTCACCTGTGAAGGTAGATTGGTATTATATGAATAAAAGAACATAAGCCTCAAAGAGGAGGGACGATCTGTTGAAGAACATTCCCGAAGTTCTTATTTAGGCAAGTGCTCAACTTACGTTTGACTTAATTCAGTAAAAAGCACGTGTTGATTACTGGTGAGGACACAGCTTCCCGGTAACCTAGGACACCCAATGGATTAAGTCATTTGGTTATGAACAATAAACACTAAGACTCATATCGACACATTTGTTAAGGGATTTCGTCAAGATAGTAAAGGTGGCATTGAGAGAGTAAATGTGGAAATTAGAGAGTAAAGGTGGAATCGAGGTGGCACAGGTGGAATCGAAATAGTAAATGTGGAATTGACGTAGCAGGTAGCAGGAATCGAGGTAGCAGGGGTAGAATCGAGGTAGTTAAGGTGGAGTCGAAGTAGCAGAGGTGGAGTCGAGGTAGTTAAGGTGGAATCGGGGTAGCAGAGGTGGAATCGAGGTAGTTAAGGTGGAGTCGAGGTAGTTAAGGTGGAGTCGAGGTAGTTAAGTTGGAATCGAGGTAGCAGAGGTGGAATCGAGGTGGAGTCGAGGTAGTTAAGTTGGAATCGAGGTAGCAGAGGTGGAATCGAGGTAGTTAAGGTGGAGTCGAGGTAGTTAAGGTGGAATCGGGGTAGTTAAGGTGGAATCGAGGTAGTTAAGTTGGAATCAAGGTAGTTAATGTGGACTCGAGGTAGTAACAGTTGAATCGAGGTAGTTAAGGTGGAGTCGAGGTAGTTAAGTTGGAATCGAGGTAGTTAAGGTGGAGTCGAGGTAGTTAAGGTGGAGTCGAGGTAGTTAAGTTGGAATCGAGGTAGCAGAGGTGGAATCGAGGTGGAGTCGAGGTAGTTAAGTTGGAATCGAGGTAGCAGAGGTGGAATCGAGGTAGTTAAGGTGGAGTCGAGGTAGTTAAGGTGGAATCGGGGTAGTTAAGGTGGAATCGAGGTAGTTAAGTTGGAATCAAGGTAGTTAATGTGGACTCGAGGTAGTAACAGTTGAATCGAGGTAGTTAAGGTGGAGTCGAGGTAGTTAAGTTGGAATCGAGGTAGTTAAGGTGGAGTCGAGGTAGTTAAGGTGGAGTCGAGGTAGTTAAGGTGGAATCGGGGTAGTTAAGGTGGAATCGAGGTAGTTAAGGTGGAGTCGAGGTAGTTAAGGTGGAATCGGGGTAGCAGAGGTGGAATCGAGGTAGTTAAGTTGGAGTCGAGGTAGTTAAGTTGGAATCGAGGTAGTTAAGGTGGAGTCGAGGTAGTTAAGGTGGAGTCGAGGTAGTTAAGGTGGAATCGGGGTAGTTAAGGTGGAATCGAGGTAGTTAAGGTGGAGTCGAGGTAGTTAAGGTGGAGTCGAGGTAGTTAAGGTGGAATCGAGGTAGTTAAGGTGGAGTCGAGGTAGTTAAGGTGGAGTCGAGGTAGTTAAGGTGGAGTCGAGGTAGTAACAGTGGAATCGAGGTAGTTAAGTTGGAATCGAGGTAGTTAAGGTGGAGTCGAGGTAGTTAAGGTGGAATCGAGGTAGTTAAGGTGGAATCGAGTTATTGGCATGAGTATATAATCATTTTGGTACAATCTGGAATCAAAGTAGGAATGGAAATATAGTGGCAATGACCTTTCCATTAGTAACGACTGGTCCTCCATATTTCAAGTGTCCTGTAAATCCCACAGGCCAAACTGCAACCTTCTGGGCCATCCGCATCTAGAATAAAGCAACAGTTTCTGGACGTTGACGGCTTATGTGTTTGCGCTTAAATCTAAGCATAAAGATTTAGAGTTTCAACATGCTATCAAGAAGACACAAAGCGGACAACTTCAAGTTTACAGTTAGTTTTCCTTTATTTCGTCCTGTTCTTGCGTCCACATTTCACAGCTTTGATACTCTGTTTCTTCAAACAACGCCATATGACACTGGCTCCCAAGTTGTTTGTTACAACATGAAAGGCCCTACAAATCTGAGAAATGATGCTCGATTCAGTTTCCTACTTTGTAAAATGTGTTACCGTGTTTGGTCAGATTAAAGATTATTCATTCTTGCTTATGATGTAGCCTATGCCTTTCTTTGGAAGCTTGACAACATGTGCTCTTGTTACTACGGAAATATTCTTATCTCTGATTTTAGTTATATTTCAACTGCTTGTATGTTTTATACTGCAATTGAAAATGAATCGTAGCTGACATTTGTACTCTCTATTGTTTACTGCCATTGTAGTTACATTGCAGTTATTTGTACTCATTTGTAGACTTAGTTTATTTTATGATACGATTGTTAAGTTATATAATACGACTGTTTTTTGGACACGTAACATTATATATTTCAAATGTTGATTCCCGTGTACCCGTATTCTTCAGATGTGTATTTACCTGACGTCTTGTCTTCTTCAGATATGTATTTACCTGACATCTTCATATATGTATTTACCTGACGTCTTGACTTCTTCAGATGTGTATTTACCTGACGTCTTGTCTTCTTCAGATATATATTTACCTGACATCTTCAGATATGTATTTACCTGACGTCTTGACTTCTTCAGATGTGTATTTACCTGACGTCTTGTCTTCTTCAGATATATATTTACCTTACGTCTTCAAATGTGTATTTACCTGACGTCTTGACTTCTTCAGATGTGTATTTACCTGACGTCTTGTCTTCTTCAGATATGTATTTACCTGACATCTTCAGATATGTATTTACCTGACGTCTTGACTTCTTCAGATGTGTATTTACCTGACGTCTTGTCTTCTTCAGATATATATTTACCTGACGTCTTCAGATATGTGTTTACCTGACAACTTGACTTCTTCAGATTTGTGTTTACCTGACATCTTCAGATATGTATTTACCTGACGTCTTGACTTCTTCAGATGTGTATTTACCTGACGTCTTGACATCTTCAGATATGTGTTTACCTGACAACTTGACTTCTTCAGATATGTGTTTACCTGACGTCTTCAGATGTGTATATACCCCATGCCTTAACGCCTTCAGATATGTATTTACGGAACGTCTTCAGATATGTATTTATCAAACGTCTTGACATCTTCAGATATGTATTTACCTGACGTCTTGACATCTTCAGATATGTTTTTACCTGACGTCTTCACTTCTTCAGATGTTTTTACCTGGCGTCTTGACATCTTCAGATATGTATTTACCTGGCGTTTTGACTTCTTCAGATGTGTATTTACCTGACGTCTTGACATCTTCAGATATGTATTTACCTGTCGTCTTGACCTTTTCAGATGTGTATTTACCTGACGTCTTGACATCTTCAGATATGTATTTACCTGTCGTCTTGACTTCTTCAGATATGTATTTACCTGACGTCTTGACATCTTCAGATATGTATTTACCTGACGTCTTGACATCTTCAGATATGTTTTTACCTGACGTCTTGACATCTTCAGATATGTATTTACCTGACGTTTTGACTTCTTCAGATGTGTATTTACCTGACGTCTTGACATCTTCAGATATGTATTTACCTGTCGTCTTGACTTCTTCAGATGTGTTTTTACCTGACGTCTTGACATCTTCAGATATGTATTTACCTGACGTCTAGTCATCTTCAGATATATATTTACCTGACGTCTTGACTTCTTCAGATGTGTTTTTACCTGACGTCTTGACATCTTCATATATGTATTTACCTGACGTTTTAACTTCTTCAGATGTGTATTTACTTGATGTCTTGACTTCTTCAGATGTGTATTTACCTGACGTTTTTCCTTTCTGTAGATATGTATTTACCTGACGTCTTGACTTCTTCAGATGTGTATTTACCTGACGTCTTGACATCTTCAGATGTGTATTTACCTGACTTCTTCAGATGTGTATTTACCTGACGTTTTGCCTTTCTTTAGATATGTGTTTACCTGACATCTTGACGTCTTCAGATGTGTATTTACCTGACATCTTGACGTCTTAAGATGTGTATTTACCTGACGTCTTGACATCTTCAGATTTATGTTTACCTGACGTCTTCAGATGTGTATTTACCTGGCGTCTTGTCTTCTTCAGATGTGTATTTACCTGACGTTTTGCCTTTCTTTAGATATGTATGTACCTGACGTCTTGACTTCTTCAGATGTGTATTTACCTGACGTCTTGACTTCTTCAGATGTGTATTTACCTGACGTCTTCAGATATGTATTTATCTGACGTGTTGACTTCATTAGATATGTGTTTACCTGCCATCTTGACTTCTTCAGATGTGTATTTACCTGACGTCTTCAGATATGCATTTACCTGACGTCTTCATATGTGTATTTATCTGACGTTTTGACATCTTCAGATAAGTATTTACCTGACATCTTGACTTCTTCAGACATGTATTTACCTGACATCTTCAGATATGTGTTTACCTGACATCTTGACTTCTTCAGATGTGTATTTATCTGACGTGTTGACTTCAATAGATATGTGTTTACCTGCCATCTTGACTTCTTCAGACATGTATTTACCTGACGTCTTCAGATATGTATTTACCTGACATCTTCAGATATGTATTTACCTGACATCTTGATTTCTTCAGATATGTATTTACCTGACGTCTTCAGATATGTATTTACCTGACATCTTCAGATATGTATTTACCTGACATCTTGACGTCTTCAGATATGTATTTACCTGACATCTTCAGATATGTATTTACCTGACATCTTCAGATATGTGTTTACCTGACGTCTTCAGATATGTATTTACCTGACGTCTTCAGATATGTATTTACCTGACATCTTCAGATATGTATTTACCTGACGTCTTGACTTCTTCACATGTGTATTTACCTGACGTCTTCAGATGTGTATTTACCTGACGTGTTGACTTCATGTGTTTACCTGCCATCTTGACTTCTTGAGATATGTATTTACCTGACGTCTTCAGATATGTATTTACCTGACATCTTCAGATATGTGTTCACCTGACGTCTTGACATCTTCAGATATGTTTTTACCTGACGTCTTCAGATGTGTACAAATGTGGAACGTACCTCAGCAAATATCCGTAAATCGTAGGTATTGTCATCGTCGGCAAAGTATACAACACCAGACTGGGTCTCGGGATTCAAATTGTCGCGTATCCATGACAACCCGGCATTTCTTTGCCATACCCCTCTTGGTTTTGCAAAACGGGCATCTGTAGCTTTCAGCTTCATTTGTGGTGGTGTTAAAGCATTTAAATGCGTATACGACAGTCCGCTTGACCGTAACAAGTTTGTTACTAGCCTAGTCTTGTTTACTGAATCCTCTACAAGTATCCAATGGAAATTTGACAGGTGAAGAAATGTTTGTGACAACCTTGTAAGTTCAGCTTTCTGTTCAATACGGGCATATGTTGGTGTTATGGTATATATGACTGGTAAAGCTGGGTCAAACATCCGACGTGTTCTTGTCTTTACTCCAAACGTACCGCTGTGTGGACGGCCTCGTTTTGTAAGTGGGTTTGTAGTGCAGTTGCATTTATCTGCAACAAAAGAGGAAATTTCGTTCAGGTAACTTTTGAGTGAATGAGTTTAGTTTTACGGCGCTTTTAGCGATATTCCAGCAACATCACGGCGGGGGACCCCAGAAATGGGCTTCACACATTGTGCCCATGTGGGGAATCGAACCTGGGTCTTTGGCGTGACGGGCGAACGCTTTAACCACTAGGCTTCCCAGGTGACTTTTGAAGTATTTCCACTAATGACAATGTTTCCAATGACCTCGCACCAATATATGTAAACATCATTACTGAAAATAATTGAGCAGGCACACGTGACATATCAAATACTTTTACCACATAGAAGCCTATGTGTCAATTGAGAAAGGATTCTGCCCAAACCAGTGATCATTCTACTTATAGTCAAACACGCAATCGAACAGGTTTGTTTTGCTTTTGCACAAAACATTGACCCATATTGACGCTTGTGTCTACTTTCTGGTAACGGAGGGGTAGCCTAATGGTTAGGGTTAACCATTAGCCTAAAGGTTAATGGTTCGCTCGTCACGCTGAAGACCCGGGTTCGATTCCCCACATGGGTACAATGTGTGAAACCGTTTTCTAGTGTCCCCCGCCGTGATATTGCTGGAATACTGCTAAAGCGGCGTAAAACCATACTCATTCACTCTGGTTACGGAAGAGGGAAGACGTTTGCTTGACTGTAATTATAGATATAGTCTTGTTTCCGGAGTATATATCCAGTTTTCTCCAAGGATTCCCACCCCAGCCCTATTTTGGAAGCTTCTGTTGCAGCTGGGTGGATGTTATCATTGCTGTCGTTATTGTTATAATCACGACTTTTATATGATATTTACATTGTAACTCTACTGCCTTCGAATATGTTTTGGCACCTTTTCCATTAGTGCTGCGTAATATAACCGGTTTACCGGTATTTACCGGTTCAGACATGAAAACGATACGTATTGTGATACGCTGATCGAAAACCGGTATTTTGACTTGCATTCGGAAAACTTCGTAACACTCGGAAATCTTCGGATATTTCCTTTTTTCATTTGTACCAAATATTATTCACATTTTTATTTTTAATCATGAATAAAAGTTGTTATTAAAGCTTAATCAAGCATAGTGATTTTGCTGTGTATTTGCTCTATAAATCAAGCATTACCTCGATTATAAGTAGTTTTCTGTGTAAAAATAATCTGCAATACCCACCCCTGGTTTCCATACTGCTATTATATTCATGTGTAGTGATTTATAAACTTGATTAATATTTCAATACAATTGTTAATTCATAACATTTTGCTTTTGTTCTTGTACATATTTCGGGTACCCTTTTTTCAGCTTCCAAATTGACATGTGATAGTGTTAAACTACTAAATGTCGTGTCTTTTGGCTGGACTTATAAATCTAGCATCAGTCAGACCAAGAGCGCGCACGCACACTCTAATGGAAAAACATGGGATATAGAAGTCAAATAGCGAAATGTACCCGACATCATTCTGGTCAAGTTTTAAAATGTCACCCACATTACTATTGCAAAATGTTTTGAAACGTTTTCTAAGGGCCTTGATTGTTAGCCTGGTAGAGAAAGTTCGAACAATAATCGAGTCTGGACCAGACAATCCAGTGATGAATAACATGAGCATCGATCTACGCATTTTGGATACGATGACATGTGTGAAACGAGTCAGCGAGCCTGACCACCCGATCCCGTTAGTCGCTTCTTACGACAAGCATGGCTTACTGAAGATCAATTCTAATCCGGATCTCCACGGGTTATTCATTCAGACAGCACGCCCAATTGTCATAAATTTCCGCAGAAAACGGTGCATGGAGCTGCAGGAATATTGCTGGACATAAAGTAAAGGTTAACTGTTAGCCTAGCGAGGAGATTTTTTGTCCCTCAAAATCATTATAGATATATATCTGCATACGAAACAGATGATTCGGTTACACTCGACTCCTTTTTGTTAGCCTAGTGATTAAAGCGTTGGCTCGTCACGCCGAAGACCCGGATTCGATTCCCCACATGGGCACAATGTGTGAAGCCCATTCCTGGCATATCTTTTTTGTTTCAGTAATTCAGTGTACCAAGATGACCGATAACTATCATAGATAAACCTCTAATTTAAGCTTAACCTCTTGACCATATGCGCTTGTTTTGTCATAAGTTTCTAAACGTCACTTCTGAATATAAATTCAAAATAAATCCGAAACTCTTTCTTGGACACAAAACCGTATTGATTATAGAACATAATTTTCCTTTTTTTTTAACATGAGATTAGTCGTGTAAAGGGTAGTTCTTTAATTTGTTTAATAGCCTCGGTTTCGTTTAAAGGAGTAAATCAGTGGAAAGGGAATTATTTGAGCCATCAAATCATCAATATTCCTGAATATAAGTTAACCAATTTGTCCATAACACTGGGTTTATCTTTAGCAAATATACATCAAAATCCCTGTTGATTAGAGAACAAAAGCATGCTTTCAATATTTCACCAGGGTCAGTGAGTAAGGGGTAAATTACTTACATGACCTAGATTGGACTTGATATCGATTATTGTTCATTGAACACCGGATAGCTCGATTGATTTTATGGTGTTCATGGGTCACTGAACCGTCAAAGATACTTGGGACGTTAGACTGTCGGAACAGAGAGTATGTAGCACACCTAACGCAACAGTATTCTATTTATCTGGCCTGGCAAGTCGATCACGGATACCTGCTTCTATTATTAATGTGTCAGGTAAATGTAGTCAAGAGTTCCTTTGGGACAATATAATTTACGAAGAACTGTTAGCTACCGGTTAATGAGCTGTTCAGAAAATAGGTCTTCATGTTGTCTGCGTGACGGCTTCATGATGCTTTTGCTTGGGCTTGGACAGTTTGGCAACAATGATGAAACCTGATGGCAGGGTATCTTAATCGGTCCATAGAAAATTGTAGGGGTTCTAATCGATAGTCCACAGTGAAGATTTGGGTTAGAATTGGTCTTCGGTAACCAATGCTTGCTGTAGGAGGCGACTAACGGGATCGGGTGGTCAAGTTCGACACATGTCATCGTATCCCAATTGCGTAGATCGAAGCTCATGCTGTTGGTCACTGGGTTGTCTGGTCCAGACTCGATTATTTACAGACCGCCGCCATATAGCTGGAATTTTCCTGAGTGCGGCTTAAAACAACAAATAAAATAACAAAACAAAACTAATCGATAGTTGAAAAGAACAATAAAAATCAGCTGATTGCCAAAGATTGGCCAGTAATTGGAACTCAAAACTTAGTGCCCGAAACATTGCGCGTGAACCATGAAATTCCTCAGTTTACTTAGGTAAGGGGTCATTCATGATTTCGTCACTTCTGTAAAAGGTCGTCAGATCGCTCACAGCCAATAATCCTCTTCATTTCCATTGCGTGAAAAAACTAATCAGCTCTCCTGCTTTAGTGCAAGGATGGGGATTATCAGTTTGAGAAGCACCCAAAGGATACTGACATGTTTAAGACTGTTAAACCCCAGTGATTTGGATACTTTGGAACAGGTTTCTGTACCAACAAAATGTTAAAGGTCACATGCAATGCAAAACACAACTTTGTAGATTCTGATACCTTTCGGTATGGACTTACAGTAACAAATTATCAAAAATGCAAATTCAACTTATAAAGTTGAAAAATAACGCGTTTGATACTGTCTACAGAGATGGCCTGTTGTTTAAATTACATAACTTGGGAATACGTGGTAAAGTGTGGACTATTATAAAGGCTATGTATGCCGAGGTTAAAGCTTGTGTTAGATATAAAGGTAATATCTCTGACTACTTCCATATTATTGTTGGTATAAAACAGGGCGAGGTCATGTCTCCTATATTATTTTCCTTGTTCATGGAAGATCTCGAAATGAAGCTCCAAGAAAACGTCGATAGTGGTCTTTGGATTGAATATGTCAATCTGTTCCTTATATTGTTTGCTGATGACATGATCTTGCTTGCTGAATCGCCGAGTGGACTTCAACATTCTCTGGATAGTTTTCATGAGTACTGTCGTGACTGGTGCCTACAAGTTAACATTATAAAGACAAAAGTGATGGTTTTCCGCAAAAGACGAAAATTAAACTAGGATGAGCATTGGCATGTTAATACTATGCCGCTTGAGGTTGTAGATGAATGTAACTACTTAGGTAATATGATTACACACACAGGTAATTTCAGATTTACTCAAAAATTGTTAGCTGGTAAAGGTTCAAAAGCTATGAATGTTCTGACAGGTTTGTTTTGCTTTTGCACAAAACATTGACCCATATTGACGCTTGTGTCTACTTTCTGGTAACGGAGGGGTAGCCTAATGGTTAGGGTTAACCATTAGCCTAAAGGTTAATGGTTCGCTCGTCACGCTGAAGACCCGGGTTCGATTCCCCACATGGGTACAATGTGTGAAACCGTTTTCTAGTGTCCCCCGCCGTGATATTGCTGGAATACTGCTAAAGCGGCGTAAAACCATACTCATTCACTCTGGTTACGGAAGAGGGAAGACGTTTGCTTGACTGTAATTATAGATATAGTCTTGTTTCCGGAGTATATATCCAGTTTTCTCCAAGGATTCCCACCCCAGCCCTATTTTGGAAGCTTCTGTTGCAGCTGGGTGGATGTTATCATCGCTGTCGTTATTGTTATAATCACGACTTTTATATGATATTTACATTGTAACTCTACTGCCTTCGAATATGTTTTGCCACCTTTTCCATTAGGGCTGCGTAATATAACCGGTTTACCGGTATTTACCGGTTCAGACATGAAAACGATACGTATTGCGATACGCTGATCGAAAACCGGTATTTTGACTTGCATTCGGAAAACTTCGTAACACTCGGAAATCTTCGGATATTTCCTTTTTTCATTTGTGCCAAATATTATTCACATTTTTATTTTTAATCATGAATAAAAGTTGTTATTAAAGCTTAATCAAGCATAGTGATTTTGCTGTGTATTTGCTCTATAAATCAAGCATTACCTCGATTATAAGTAGTTTTTTGTGTA